GGGGGGTCCTGCGGGAACCCCTGCTTACTGCTACTTTTGGCTTCTGTCGATTCGCTTCGATTCGGCCCGATTCGATACGCTTTAACGATAGCCGGCTGTGTAGTTCTTCATTGCGTATGTAAGATGAATTATCGGGGTTTTCCATTTTATTTTGGCTCGCGGCCCCGTAAATGAAATTTCTCTCTGGCACCACGCGACAAATTCTGAAAAAAGGAACGAATTACCATCAAACACAGCAGGTGTGTATCTCTTGTTGATTTTTCAAAGTTCCGTGTTCCTAGCGTCGATGTTGCGCGTCTTGACATCCATATATTTGATACGATCGGTAATATCCGATTTTCATTTTTTTTTTTATATGTGGATCTTTATAAAAGCGTAGCGTGTAATCGTGAATCGTGACTCCTGTGAATAAATCTAAAGATGAAGAAATCGTTTTATTGCGCCTAGAATTCACGGTCCTTTGTGACGCTTTCTAATGGAATATGTAAAGGAACAATAATGATAGTGATTATGACTCGATAGAATAGGTAAAAGCATGTAAGAAAGAGAGAGAGAGAGAGAGAGAGGTTCTTCTGATTGAAATTTGGTAAGATCAGAGATGCAGGTGCTGGAATACAAAGAGAGCTAAGCCTCTCCTTTGTGCAGTGAGTTTGTGAGTTCTGAATGTTGCGAGTTGATTCAAATGTTTTTCAAATCTCATAACGAGCAGGGCTTCGAGAAACTAGAGATAAAAATCTTTCCGTAGCGTTAGGCCGCTGACTAAGTGGTTCGCAGGATAAAGGATCTAGACTTCATCTCGTGTCACGTCAAGTTAAATTTAAGACCGGGGAGCACCTGTCCGTCAATGACCACACCTTCCCAGCATCGGCTCGTTCTTTCGATCGAATTCCTCCCACGGGCGTTTGAGTCGAGGGATACAAATGGGCGCTTTCTGCGGGATCTTTGTTTGTGGCGCAGGGAGACAGGAGTGAGAAGGATTGTAGGACTCGCGCGCCCATCTTGCAGCAGGTAGTCATGCTGCCCGTTAGGTCCTTCTTGGATGCTGGATGCTTGATGCTTGATGACGTCGTTTACATCCAGATAGAGAAGTTGCCAGTTGGAGGAAAACACGGTTGCATTCGCGGTGTCGTTAGGCTTGTTGCTCCTTGGTACGGTATGTCCAAGTGCTAAGAAAGAGACTCGCGCCGACTTAATTTAGGTTGCTACGACGTCGGCCGCCGTCCCGATGCTGCTGCGGCAGCAGCAGGGCCCGTCGAGCGATAAGTCACTTTGACGATAAGTTACAAACGAGTCGATGGACCCCTCCACCCACATTTTTTCTCGGCTGACTCGCATTGCGCGTCGCTCGAGATGGGCTCTTTGGGAAGTGCTAAGGGAACCGTGGTGTGCCAGGGAATACCAGGGAACAGCCAGAGACACCAAGGACAGGGGTTGCTGGTGGCTCTCATGCGCCTCGAACGGCTCGAACGGCTCGAACGGCTCGAACGGCTCGTACTGTCGGATATCTCGTAGGTGTGTGTTGCTTCGTGGTAAGCCGAGGCCGGCATATGAGCGTAGCCGCCATGAAATACGATGAGAGAGTGCCTCGGGTGCGAGACTTATGTTAAGTACACGCACACATCGATGCTATATCCGTATTTCAACGGACCTGAGGCGTCGAGCGTCCCGCTTTACCGGCCTCTCTTTATTTCTCCTTTGAACTTGGGGTGGCGCATTGTCCCTCGGGTGCTGTCTACCTTGTTACGCCCCTGTTAAATAATCAGAAGTAGCCAGTGCCGTCTCTTTTCCACTTTTCTCTTCCTCACATAAAAAATAATGAAACTAGTTGTCTTAGCCCATGTCAAAAAGTTATATACCAGTAATATATGAATTATACATAATGCCAATTAATATAATTTATAGATCATTTTATAGATCATCCTAGATTCGAAAAAGTTTAGCACAGATATTACGACTGCGTGTATTACACTTTTTGCAAAAGTTACAGAGCTTTCTATAGGCAGAAGTAAGATAGCAATAAGCGATCATGGTTGAAGAATTACTCAAAGCTCTTTAATAAATATATCTTTACGTATAGGCGCAAGGGTCCCTAATGACGAGGAACATAATGGCATTAGGAGGAACTTGCACGCGAGTCTTTGAAGTCCTCTTTCTCGTAAGCGTGGAACCCGAGGAGACCCTTCCTATAACTCATCTTCATCGAGCCCGTCGTCGACTTCGAGTTCTCAGCAGTTTCCAGCATCCGCACCCGCGCGATCCGACCTATGGTACACGGAACGCACCTGCGTATACCGTGTATGTATTATACATTTTTGTATAATGCGACTCTTTATGCTGGTACATATATGTATGCATATACAATATGTATCGATTATTTATTATGAATGAGGGAAAGGGCCCTTTCCATCCATTACACCCGACCGCACATTTCTCTGGGACTTGATGTACCTTGATGTCCTCTTTTACATTTCCAGTCAGTTGCCTCCTATCCCCACTGTTCCGCGGCCCAAATATCGCATTTGATTTTCTTTAATTTTAAAACGCTTAATCGCTATAGGAACAAGAATGATGGCACTTACGAAATAAGGAAATGTCAGAGAATCCTGCTATTATTATTTCCGTCTTCTTCCTCGAGGAAGTGGGGGATAAGGCAATCCAGAATCCCTAAGCATAAATATGATCCTTATTAGTAAGGACAAAGGATGATCTAGAAAACAATAGAAATTTTAATCTAAAAGAATAAATATGGTGCCATTATCGAGAATCAAAGATACTCCCGGGAGACGACACTCGTAATGTACGTCGCTCCCGTACGTTCGTAAAGCTCCCTTACTCGGCGAACTACCGTCGTTCAAATAAATCCAACCAGTACTCGTAGGTGTATCTTAGCAGCTGACCAGTAAGGGGCCCGAGATTCGAACGAGCGCTACAAGGCCCAGAATAGGTCAAAATGGGTCTTGGAGAGAATTCCTTTTATCAAGAAATACAGAAAATACGATCATGCTATATAGATGGAACATTTCTCGAGATGGATTGGGTGCTCTTATCCCAAGGTACTAGGTAGGTTCATTCTCATCCCGATCTTGATTCCGATAGCGATAGCACGTTATTCGGCCCTGCAGTGACTCGCGCTACGTAAGAGAGTAGAGTAGGCGAGGAGTTACGCCGTTACGCCGTTACGCCGTTACGCAGTTACGCAGTTACGCAGCTAAGAATGGTACGTGTGCCTCGGGAGTGAAGCCACGCGTCTGATCGTCTCGTATCGCGTTGTATCGCATCGTATCGCGAGGATCCCGCACACGCTCGCGCGCATGGTGGATACGCCTTAAACTTACGTAGTGGGAGTTACTTTCTTCCCCACTCTCTCTGTTTCACGCATCTGCATTCCCTTAGGTCTACAGTCTGTGCTCGCACGTAGATACATATGTATAAAATATATACACGTACACGTATACCAGCTCCTCTGATCTCTCCCGTTCTCGCAGATGCAGATACGTCTACAATACTTTGGATCTTGCCTCTCCTTCTGTCTTTATTCCTTGTGTCTCACTGGTTCTCTCTCTCTCTCTCTCTCTCTCTCTCTCTCTCTCTCTCTCACTTCCTCTAACGTAAGGCAACTCTTACGCCTACACGCTGTAGTTGCAGCATCCACACTTAGCCCTCCTCAGTCCAGCGCGTGCCTCCACGCGACCAACTAACCAACCAACCAACCACCAGCAAGGCACCAGCAGACAACCAAGCATTCTGCTCTTACTCCTGCAGTAGGGTGGACCGTCGATATACTCGCTGTCCTGGACACACTGGAGAGTCGGCGACAGTCACCTCGTGTCATTTGGTAGTGGGGTTCGCGCCTCGACGTCACTTTTCGTTCGATAGCATTGACGTGCCAATCGGGAACCTCAGCAATTATTTAATTTCTTTATATTGCGGTACCAAGTGTCATTCTCAGCGAGAACTTCTTGAGAGGAAATCTCAAGAACGTTCCTCTACCAGTTATTATTATATTATATTTTAATTGGATCTTCAATAGCTTGGTTTTTTTTTGCCTTTTCATCATTTTGAAATTTCTATTAATTTTCCCATTGTACATACCGGTTGTTATTGTGGCTTTAAGAATTAGAGTGGTCGTGCGTGGATAACCAAGGACAAATGGATGATTTTCAAGTGTTTAAATTTCTATCAAGGACTGTAGTTATTTCAGCAGCAATTTTCAAACAACTTGTGTAGATAAATGGTGATTGCAAAACGTCAGTGAATATTGAGAAAATTTGCAGTTGAAGTGAATCTAAGTAACAAGTTGTCGCATTACTTGTATGGTAATAGTGTACTTCAGATTAGTCGAATGGTTAATGTGTGAATTCAGTGAATCAAATGCATATGGCGATTGGATAATTTCAAAGAGTGTCTTAGGTACCTACGGATTAAATATCATCTCCTTAAGGAATCTATAAGCAGAAATGTTGATCGTTCTAACGTAATAAACAGTGATTTACAAAAGTCCGGAAGTGCTACAGTCAGGCTTACGAGTTCCGGGTAGGGCAGGCTTGTTCGCGTCCATCCACTTATACGACGCACGCAATATCCACTAATAACGGAGCGTCCTCAAATCTGTTTAATTAAAAGCATAGACTGCGTAGATCGAAAGCGCACATTGACCAATCAGAATTATAGCTTGGTCTCGGACGCATGCGGATACCACCGGATTGAAAATCGGCGAGCGTGGGTTGACGCGCGGCGCCAACCTGTTGCTCAAGATCACGCGAGACGCAGACCGTCCGATTTCAATACTCTGTCATCCTATGCATTCTCGCAATCGTATAGCCAATTCGCTGTCTCCTCATTCAAAGAATATATATTCATGTTCGCGCGAAGCCTCAATGCCCATGTGCCGAAGAGTCAGGATTCTCTATACTCTTTCTTTCTAGTCAATTTGAAATATCTTTTCTGCATTAATCAAACCGATTTACTGACTGTCGCGCAGCAACATTTCTTCCTCTCGTGGAATCATTCGACTAACGGTAAAAATCGGCTCCCCGGATCGTCGCGACTAGTGGTGACTCGTGAAGTGCCAGTGAAGTGTCTCGAGAACTCGAGAGTTCCCAGTAAGAGTGAAAAGTGACATTCCTCCGAGTACTCAAGATCCAAGTACTCTGCGAGGATTCAGGATTCTATGTATATTTTTCGTATGGATGCATTATAATCTAAAAGTTTTCAAGCCCGTTTCGAGTCGAAGACTTGACCAATGACATTTCTATGGGAATGAGTGGATGAGCAATCGCGCCAGCAAAATGGGGCGAATCAGGATTGAGATCAGTGCGATTTTAGCCTTAGGGTGTTTGCTCTGTGTGAGCCTGGGAAACTCGAGGAACCTCTCGACGAAGGAACTTTTGGAGTGTCGTGCCAACCTGAGCAGAGCCGTACGCAACGACACGATCTTCCTCGAGAGAATTCATCAAGCCGATTACATATTTACGGGGAAGATCAAGGATCTGCAGGAGGGTCGACTTCACGTCCGCGTAAAGCGAGCCATCAAGGGTCTCCTTAACGGGACCCTCGACCTCATCCTCAACGACACTTGCGCCGTTTACATACGTCGTAGCTACACCGGCATATTCATGGCACGACGAGATTTTGGTTTTGGAAATTTGAAACACTTGGGAAAAGTCGTGATGCACTTTGGACCTGTTCCGCTGACCCTTGCCAATTTGGACAGACTCAACTCTGCAGTACGAGGTTCGTCTCATATCCTATGTAGTACAAACAAATAAGTGGTGTTGACTTGACAATCTCATATTCCTTCTCTATGCCTATATTAGCTTTCACGCTCATTGGATTTTCTCTTGCAATCGTTGATCTGCACTACTTTGCTGTCTATTGAGACTGTTGTATGGAGAAATTTTCACGGTGTTTTTAATGACAATAATGGCAAACAACATTATGGCGCCAGTCGAAAAACAAGGTTGGCGGGGGGGGGGGGGGGAGAA